TTAAAATTATCGGATTTCACGGCGTACTGCTCGTGGGTGAACAAGTTTGTAAGCTGCCGATAGACCGTGACGTCTTTCTGTTGGTTTCAGTCCTTAATTCGCCATTCTTCCTATAAAAAACATTGGGGCACGCGCCACATTGAAATGTCAATTAGTTTTTCTGTCAGCAGTGCTTTCAGCCATCGTATTTCCCTCAGTGAGTAAGCATTACAGTAAAACTTGTACTTGGGTATCTTTGTCATCGCATGGTACTAAAATCATTGACAGATACATCACCCCCGTCCTCCTCCCGCCGTCATGCTCCCAACCCATCAAATGTGTCCATCCGGTATGATGGCAACAGGAGACTTGACAAATGTCCAAAGACGTTTGCAAACCCGCTATTTCGATGCAGCGGCCATAATATAATATGGCAATTTTTATGCAATTTTACCGGTTAAACGGAATGCCGATTAATGCCTCACTGGCAGGTGACGGTAGTCAGATAATTCCGTATAACGTTGGTGATGGAGAGATGATTTCGAATTTTTCTTCGAAATTACATGTCCAGCCAACAAAAATGATAGTTTCAAGTTTTATGGATCATCAATTTTTGCCATCTGTTTACCAGCTATATGCATGTTTGGATTCGAAGACATTTAACCTCTGACTGCTACCGTAATCAACCACTGACCATAATATATTCTGGTCTACTAAAAGAGTATTACGCTGTTGAAATCGAGTAGGATTCCAACTTTGTTTCACCGCTTTGTCCCCTCGCATTGCAGGTACTCTATTGAAAGGCAGCAATGGTTCACTTCAGAGGTCGGTAACGGTACTCTAAACAAGGAACGGCATAAACAACGCCCAGACGATCTAAAAAAACTTGCATATATGTTAACATGTACAGTTATAGTTCAGCACCAGGGGTAGGCAAGGCAAAATTTCAATCTCCTTATGCAACATTTGTCTCGTTATTAAAGCAGTTGCACCTCGATCAATTCAAGTGAGTCTGTTGCTCCTTCCCAATCAAGTCACCATACGAGTTGGCCGTGAAGCCCAAGCAGCATTCTCGGCACCACTTTTGCATCATTTCATGAAACTGATCACCTTACATGCTGATGTTTAGTCAGCTAATAGTAGGTGAAGAGAAATTTCAGTCGTAGTGCACCTGCAACACAAAGCATGGCTTTAAACAGGGCAAACTTCAGAATTATTAAACCATAAATGCATGGGAATGAGGATAGTGACGCAAATGGTTGAGTCGAATTTTACAGATCCGGACTTCAAGCCCGAAGGAGCGGAGTAAAACTTCCTTTTAGTAAGGAATTTACCTCACGTAGCTTTGATTCAACCATCGGAAAATCGGGCAAGAGTCGAACAAGTGGCTCAACGTAGTGTTGTGACACGGTGAAGCAAGGTCTTTCGTGACAGTTGTTCATGTTGCCTGCTGCGCCCAGTGCCACGGTGGCAGTGAGGACTGTTTCGAACTCCAGAGTTGCAAGTCAGAGTTCAAAGAATGGACGATCCTCGTGTTAGAGGCGGACGAATTACGTTGAGCAACAAATTACAAGTCGTTGACTTGCGAGTAACAGAGGCAGCATGGCGTTTTGGTGTGGTAATGTCAGAAAAGGCGAAAGGTACGGTCATCCTTTCGGTGATGCGACCGTCTCCCACGGTAGAAATTTGCCTTCCCTCCCCTTGATAGCTATTTATTCGTGAGATAATCAGCAGAAGGTGATCATCATTGCTTGCTGTTGTGTACTCTATGGCTGCACTTCATCCACCTCTGTTCACCAAATGATTGTCAAACATTAGCACAAGAAAATATATTGTCGTACAAAATAACTGGTTTCCACTGTTCTCTAATTAGCGGGATGCTGCTATTTTATGAGCCGGTGACACCGAAGTCATTGAGATGAATTTTTTTCTCAAAGAATTAACAGCAAATGACCAAGATTCACAACACTCCGGAAATCGAATCAGTATTGTTAAAGGCAGGACACAATGGCATCCATGCATAGTTGACTATCCTCTCCGTCCAGGGAGAAGCTGTGCAGCTTAGAGTTGCGTGGGTTTCTAATTATATGGCCAACGCCCCTCCTCCTATTGTGTAATGATCATGACAACACACAAAATCATTTAACAGAAAGGTTAGAAATGAAAGAAGCATAGCTTTCCAATGCTTATGACCATCGACTCGTTTGAATTCTAGTTATGCCAACAATTGCCTCACTATTTTACCTGCTCTTAGTCTGAGATGCCATAGGACAGCGATGAAGATTGCATGTAGGAGCAAAACGTTCAAAATTGTCCTTCGGAATTTTACACTTCGACCTCTTGCTCGAGCTGTTAGAAATATTCCTAAATTCCGAGGTACCAAACAACTTGTCGAAATAAGGAAACAGGCACTATAAATAGCTGCGATGGTCTGTTTTGAACTGAAGCAGTTGTTGTGTGTAATCCACGGCGCTTCTTTGAACAATTCCTCATAAGTGATTGATATTTGCATGATAAGCTTATATGAAAGAATGGGCCACAGTTCGTCTTCAGTGCCACATCAAGGGATAATCCATAATATGACTGATTCATAAGCGAAGCTAAATAACGGACGATTTCTCCAAGACCGAATTTCCTGGCGAATTGCCAAGCTCTCTTACTCCTAGTTGCTTACTGTGTCATTTAAGCAAGCCATGGCTCCGTTGTACTTGAATATCTGCAGGTCGGATTCATCTCAAATCATCTGTCTGCGAAAGATACCTCACGGTCAATGCGAACGCTGCTTCAGAAGCTAGTGCTCTAATGTGCACTCGCATAAATATCAATGGTGTATGCTAGAAATAATTATATTTGTGAAATTTTA